TTCACAAAGTCTGGAAATATTGAAATTTTCCGGAGTAATCTTTAGTAAACTGGAGTGGAGACAAACTATATATTTGTCCCATAGAAGCAAAAACTTTTCTTGTAGTGCGAAAACCTTAACAGTGAACATAGTGCTCTTTGATTGTTTTTGTTCTTTTTTTGTTTGGAGAGATTTTTTTTTAAGGTTATGGTTGCACATTAGATTGGTTGTTTTTAGTGATGGGTTTTCCATATGATAGGATTACATTCCGTTAAAAACTTTGAACTTCCAACATTTGATGTTCTGCCTTCATTCATCTACCCCTTGAGCTTGAAGGATTCATTCACCTAAGAGATCTATCCCTTGAAGGTCCAACATTAAAAGAAAAGGATTTTTTCTTATGAGAACAAACGGATAATCCCTATGCATTAGACCAAAATGGTTCAACACTTTGAAGTTCCAACATTTGATGTTCTACCTTCATTCATTTACCCCCTTGAACTTGAAACTGGTAGTAACCATTTAATACATCTTTTGGATTAACCATTTAATGGCCCCAGTCTCATAAAGAAACTCAGATAACTTGTTTTTGAGGATTTAGAACCTACTCGGCTATGCCTTGTCCCTGTACACATGCACACTCCTTTTGAAATACTTGTACGCGACGCAAGCCTAGGAGAGTTGCACCTCACGATCAGCTTTCTCTCGCCATTTGGATGATAAGGTCATTATATAGTCTATTACAATGTTCATTCAACGCTAATCCAGAAATTTCCTTTTGTGCTCTATGCACTGCAAACTCAATGACTTGATCCACAAGGTTCACATTCCCATAAGATGCCGAAATATGATTAGCTACCTTTTCGATATATAGAATCAACATATGAATCCATAATCCACCATCTTCTACTATTCTCCAAATTGCTCAATTAGGTACGCAAATATTTTCTGGCACAATGACAAACCCGCATATGACATAACATGCAAACTCCTTGGGTAACCTTTTGTCTAGATGAATTTTTCTAGAGAGAGACGTTGGCTGCTTCGGATCACCTGAGATTGAGCAGAAGAGAGATGGAGATGAGTGGTGAAGGAATGAAGGTCGTAGGAAGAGATGTCGGTGGCGGCATGGAGATACAAGGCCACCATAATAGGTCTTAGAGGAGACTAATTAAGAAAGTGCAATTGTGTAAGTGACAGAGTTCCCGGCGCCCGCGGAGCTTATTTTTAGAGCACCTGAGGAGATTCGTGGATGGCAAAGAGCCAGGAGTCATGAAGTGACTGACGTCTTAAAAAAATAAAGATAAGCGTAGTTCCCACACTGAAGATTACATACCAATTTACATAGGAATGACCACAAAATAGTGACAATTCACTTAAGGGGTGCACTTGAAAAATAATTGATTAATGTCCTTACATCCAAAACATAATATGACCAAGGAATGTGAAGACAAGGGGCATATTAGTTGACCTTACCTGAGTTTTTACAACATTAGTTATAACTTGTTAGTCATCAATTCTCCTCGTTAGTAACGAACATTCGTTATGACTTGTTGATAGATATTTCCTACTCATGCTTATCATTATGTTCTAAGAACCCATACAACTACATAACCAACTCCCTAATCTTGACTCTATCACCCTTGCAATTATTTTAAAAGTGATCAAACCAGAAGCTCACTAAACTATTGGAAATATTGCGGTTTGGTCACTGCTAAATTTTAATTCTTGGGGAGGTCACTACACTTATGAACAGTACTTGAAATTGGTCATTTCTGTTAGTCAACTTCGTTAGTCAATAATTTTCCATTAATGTATAGCTATTTATTATTTTTTTAAATCTTTCTGCTCCTAGTTACGATTATCTTTATTTTTTTTTCGCAATAACTATATTTTTATTTTATTTTTTGCAATAATTTTTTAGTAACATTATTTTATTTTTTAAAAAAAAGTTAATTTGGCATTTACTATTGTTATTTTTTTGCATTAATATTTATTAATTACATTTTTTGTATTTTTTAAAATTTTATTTTTAATGTATTTTTCTTTAGTTTCTACATGTATAAGATTTTACTTTACAATTTTTTTCTTTTGCAAATTACGTTTTTTTCAAAAAGAATTCATAATATTTTCCATTTCATCAAAATCTCATTTCTTTTGTTTTAACTGTTTAGATTATTCAAATTTAAATTTATAATTTTTATTTTTATTTATATCAAATTTTAAATTTGTGAATTTCATTTAATTGAAGTGATGAAATCTTTACAACCTAATCCATAAATTTAATTTAATTGTTATGATTTCATCACTGCAATCAAATTTTTAGTTACTAACTTAATTAAAATATTTAAATATTGACATAAATAAAAATGGAAATTATAAATTTTAGTTGAACAATAATATGTAAACAGTTAAGAATTAAAAAAATGTGATTTTTTTCAAATAAGATGTCATAAAAAATATTTTTTTAAAATTAATTTGCAAAACAAAATGTAAAAAAAAATCTTACACAAGTAGACATGACAATAAAAAAAATTACAAAAAAATGTAATTAGTGAGTACTAAAGCAAAAAATGAAAGAAATTAACTTTTTCTTAATAAAATAACATTTTATAAAAAATTATTTCAAATGGGTTAGAGAGATAGAAAAAAAGGAAATAATTGTTGGGCTTAAGATCGTTTTGTGTAGAAAAGGCTTTCTAGGTGTAAATTAACATAGAATCTTACATGTTTGTGGAGATTTTAAAATAGTTAAGTATCAATCTCCCACTTCCGGAAGTAGGCAAACAATCTCCCACTCTCGGAAGTAGATAACTATCAATCTACTGCTCTCTGTTAGTCAAACATTATCAGATAGTAGCAGAGGAATTTCTTTGAACGAAGAAGAAGCTCGTTGAGTGAAATACATTTCATGTGATGAAAACGTGTAGTTATCATTCAAAAGAAACTTGCTCGCAAGGGACAACATTCTAATTGTTAGATGGTGTCTTGCATCATTAGAAAATTTGAGCTAGAAATTTAGCATTGCATTCCAAAAACATCCATTCAACACTCTGTGCTCTTGTGCTATTGTAATAGTCAAGTAGTAATTGTTGATTTTTGTTAGATTAATTGGAGCAAAATTTGGTGATTGAAGCTTTACGAGAAATATAGAAACTTTTATGTTTTATTCTTCGCATATTGTTGGATGAATTATCTCAATCAATGTTTGTATTGGAAATGATTATTCAAATTTGATATAACAATATGATACTGCTGCAATGTATGATGATACTTGTGGACTTGAATTTGATAACGTGAATGCCAAATTGTATGTTTTGGTTTAAAAAAGCCTAAAGAGTAAAGGGCATTCTCCTTGATGTTTCATGATCCCAAGTTAGGGGTGTTGTTTGTCATGTTTCAATGTGAGTTAACCCTTAGAAAGAGATGCATGATCCCTAAAGGACATTTTGATCTTAGGTTTCAAATTCTCAAGCTAGATCTTAGGCTTACCCAATTTAGTGCCTGCACCAAGGTTAGCTGGACTTTGTGTTTGATTCACATCGATTGATTAGATTGTATGGGATGTATTAGAACTGGTTGGATCCACCCTTTTTTTTTCATAATTACTAAAAACCAATGATTGATCATCCTTTGTGTCTCTGTGCTTTATTTTGCTTGAGTGTGTTTAGTTAGGCAAAAGGACATATATTAGAGTAGGGTATTTCCTTATACTATACTCGGATATCGAAAAGATTTTTCAAAACCTCTCGTGCCTTAGCATGCTACTAGTACAACTTTCACGGACATCCTCAAAATTATGGATTTAATGAATTTATGGCTAGATTTTGGTTCATATTTGAGGTACTACATGTAATGGAATATGCTGAATTTCTGCATCTTTTGGCAAATATGTTTTACTTAACAACGCAAATATTTTGTTGGCTAGTTCACGTTGTTCCCCTTCATATATATAAGAAAATTCAGAGTAATATATTGCGCACATACAGTGCTTAAAACTTACAAAAAAAGAATAATCGTCATACAAAGATATTTAAAAAATTATATGATGGTTCTTATTGCAAACAAGAGCTATAAGAACTGCTTTACAAATCTAGACAGTTCTATAATGAATTAAAACTAAGAATTGTCTTACAAAAAATTTCACTCAATTTGGATTTAAGTTTCAATACTTTTTATTATTTGATGTGCAGTAAATCCTATTATACATATTTCATGAATTAACCATAAATATAAAATTTCTACTTACTTGCACAATGTTAAGATAAAATGTAAACTGGTCTTTTGGGTGATTTGGGTGATTGTAGAGAATTCCAATCCGTGCCAAATCCGTATAGAATTACTTAGAAAATTTCATATTTTTCTAAAAAGTTCTGACACTTAGAAATCCACCAAAATGCAAGTAAAACAACTAACTCAGGATCGAAAAATTTGAACGGTGTCAGTACTAGTATATGGACAAATAGTTATTAGAACAACTTTATCCTCAAAGAATCCATTAATGTCAAATGATACATGCAAGAAATAATTTTTAAAAAAAACTGAGAAAAAACGAGGTAGATTAAATCACAAATAGTGATACATACATCGAAAAATTATAAAATAACAATAATAAAAATATGCCAACAATGATTATCTCTCAAACTTTTCATGAATCAACTCCATAGGAAATGTAAGAATGGATGGGTATGTTTTAATCCAAATCATTCCTCCATTTTTCTTCTTATAAAAATTATTCCTTGTATACATTGTTATTCTTAAATCACATCCATCCATCCATTGTTATTCTCTATATAAAGTTAAAGAGATAGTTTAGATTGAAACCATACTATTCTCTGTACATTTTCATTGAGTTCTTTTGTGCATGTATTACTACTAGTTTAATATTTCCTCGGTCTGTATTTGACATTTTGTTTTGCTCTAAAATTTTTAATTAAAAAATATACTAATAAATAAAATTTAGTACAAATCAAAATAAAAGTGGCTAATTGACCATGGTCACCTTAGAAGGAGTCCACTTGGTCAAATGTGTATTAATCTATGAGTATTCTCATTTCAATAATAATCAAAATAGTTCGTCTTCCCAAGTCCCAACCAACAAATTATCATCACCATTTTTGTCATCATTCTCCGCTTTTGCTTGCTTCACTTCCTACCACCTTTTTTACTCTCTTTCTCTCTGCTCCGTTCGGCGGATTTCAAATTCTACTCACTCTTCCTTCATTTACGTGTCCTCCTCTCCACACTCCCACCGCATTCTCTCACCTCTTCAAATACTTGCATTTCCTCCTTTTGCTACATTCACAGCTAGATCTTTCATTTTTACTCGCACCAGAGTGTGGCAAATGAGAAACAATTTTGTGGGTTCGATGAGGATTGGGATGATTAAGGTTGAATTTTTGCTCTTGGTGGTGGTGGCAACGGTGGCGGTGGCGGTGGCTGCCGGGGCGGGTAATGGCGGGGCAGGGGTGTTTTCGGCGAAGTTGATGCATAGGTTCTCCGAGGAGGTGAATTCTGTTAGGGTTTCTAGGCGGGGAAGGGAGGTTAATGATGTGGGTTTGCCCCGGAAATGGAGCTCGGAGTATTACCGGAGGTTGCTGAGCAGTGATTTGGAGCGGCAAAAGGTGAAGTTGGGGCCCCAGTCTCAGTATCTCTACCCTTCTCAAGGAAACAGTGTTCTGCAATTTGGAAATGACTGGGGATGGTCTGATTTCTACCCATTATTCGACTTTTACTCTCACATTTATCATTGTCTATAAGTGCTGATTACTGGCTTAAATAGAAGAGAAGCCATTGTTGATTAAACAATCAATGGAGGTTTCTTTTTAAAAAAATATATTAATTTTTCTACACTTATTTATTTTGAGGTTTCTTTTCATTTATTGATCTGACAGCTGGAGTAAGTAAAAGAAAGGAACAAGCATAATTGTCGATTGATTCATTAGATTGAGTTTTGTACCTTCAGTTGTTGAAAATTTTATTCATTGCGGTGCTAGGGTATGAATTTGGTAAAGTCAGTTAATTGTTAAAATCAAACGAATTGAATTGTTTGAATTTAAAATTTTTTCAAGTCTTAAACTTTGGTTGCTTCTTGTTAATTTGTCTGTTAGGTTTTAGTGATTTCCTCCTTACCATGTGTAGTATGATTATGGGTGTGTTGAGAAGATGATGATTACCATTGTTGAACGAATAAATGATTCTGTTGTCGTGATGTAGATTCATTACACCTTCTTCCGAATGTTAATTTCCTGTTTCCTGCCGATAATTATTTACTGAGGCCCGTTTCTTTTTTTGTTATTGTTCCATCTAAACAGGTTACACTATGTATGGATAGATGTTGGCTCACCAAATGTTTCTTTTCTTGTTGCACTTGATACTGGAAGTGATCTGTTTTGGGTTCCTTGTGACTGTATCCAATGTGCTCCATTATCTGCCAGCTACTACAGCAGTCTGGTATGCAGGCTTTAGATCTATATGTTATCATTATTCTCTCATGTTTTGTCTTTTCAATAATTCTTTATCTAATCGTGGTTTGCGTTTTGATGTTCAGTTCTTTTATGAATGGAACTCAACAACTTAAAATGTATAATGTGTGTATGCTAAACTGGTCCTCTTGACTTGTGCCTACTTTGGAATGTTGTATAAAGTAACGACCTGTAAATATTCTTTGAACATTATATTCTTTTGAGTTTAAAACTTGCGCCATACCACCACTCTTCCCTTTGGAATGTGGGATTATTGATTGGACCACTTGCAGATGCTAATCTATAGCTTTCCTTTTTTTTGAGTAAATATAGCTTTCCTTGATTGCAGAATAATCCTCATGCATATTCTTTCGTTTTCTTTTTTTCTTTTTTTCTCATTTTGCTGGAAAATGTATGGGAGTGTTTGCAAACATCTTGTCATCATTTTTTTTTTTTTTGGTTTTTGGTTTTGTTTTTCACGTGTTGCTCTTGTCAAATTTTTTAATTATAAATACTTTAATGGGGCTAATTTCCATATGTGGATCTGAGATTTGGCTTCTGAAAATGTTATGTGGACTATCATGCAAGTGGTTGCTCTTGTCAATGGAGTTGCTTTTGTTGTGGATGCTTGACATTTTGTGACTTTTGCTTTTCCGATGATGTTCAAATGTATTATCACTTCCGTTCTTCCAGAATTTTGCGATATGCTAGGGTGTTGAAACTTTGCTAATGATACATATTAGAATAAGACTGTAACTTTTGGTAAGAGAACATGTTTCTTTCCTTCGTGCAATTAGCTAAGCCTCTCTGACTTTCTGTATCTCAAGAGATGTAATCATTTACATATAAATTTATGTGAACAGCTGTTCATAAGCATCTATAAGGTCTGAGGGGGCAATGGACGTCTATAGTATGAGTTGCAGTTATAGCACTTATTTCCAGTGATTGATTGGCAGGTGCTCCCTCGTATTTGGGGCATTTATAATGCAGGATAAGGATCTAAAGGAATACAATCCCTCTGGCTCAACTACCAGCAAGTTCATAAATTGCAGCCATCACTTATGCGAACTAGGTTCAAGGTGCAGAGATCCAAATCAACCCTGTCCGTACATTGTCAATTATGAAACAAAGGATACATCTACGTCTGGATTCCTTGTAGAAGATATTTTGCATCTCGCACCCGTCAGCAGTAATAAATCAAACAAATTTGTGCGAGCTCCAGTAGTGATCGGGTGTGTTTACTTGTCCACTATATCAAACACTATCTCAAATACTTCTCATTTTATCAACGACTCTTTTCCTTTATCTATTTTGTAGATGTGGCAGTAAGCAAACTGGTACATACCTTGAGGGAACGGCCCCTGATGGTGTTATGGGCCTGGGACTTGGGAACATATCTGTCCCCCATTTCCTTGCAAAAGCAGGACTTGTTCGAAACTCTTTCTCTCTCTGTTTTGATGAGGATAGTGACGGGAGGATCTACTTTGGGGATCAAGGGATCGCAAGCCAAAACACAACTCCGTTTTTGGCTTTAGATGATCAGAAGTATGCAACTTTCTCTATTTATTTACTAGAAATTTGTTGCAATTCAGTAGCATCTTTCATATTATGGTTCATTGAACTATTGTATTGTATGTTTCTATCTTAATAAACTGCACTTACATTTGTTCATAATTATGCTTGTTTAAATATAGTCGATATATAGTTGGAGTGAAGGCATGTTGTGTTGGAACTTCTTGCCTTGAGCAGACAGACATCAAAGTTTTAGTTGATAGCGGGACTTCATTTACATATCTTCCAAGTAGTGCCTATGAAAAGGTGGTTGGAGAGGTAAACCCCTTTCATTTACTTTATACTTTGAAATGCTACTTTTGCTTTTAATGAAAACTCTTCTATTTTTGTAGTTTGACAGACAAATTAGGGCGACCAAAACTAGATTTGACGGATATCCTTGGGATTATTGTTATAAGTCAAGGTATTGGCATAAAATGGTAATTAAAACTATGCATGATTTCCTTTATTTCTTCTTTGATCTAGAAGAAAATATTTATGAATACATTTTCATGCCCGACTTGTCATTGATAAACCATATTTATCCTTTTGTTTTAACAGTTCTCTGGCTGCAGCAACGAAGATAACTTTATCTCTCAAGTTTGATGCAAACAACAGTTTTGTGGTCTTTAATCCTTTAATTAGTCACTATGATTCCGAGGTTAGTTAGCGAACCATAAAGCATAGTGCATTTGCTGTTTGTGATTGTGGCTCTCATTACATTACCTATGATTTTCCCAGGGTCTGGTTTTCTAATTGGGTAGAATGATCTCTTCGCTCTGGGTATATTTAGAACTGGTTCAAATTTCCTTCAAATTGGTCCTGGCCTTTGACTCAAAAGTCCAGTATTTTGGTTTGTGAACTACTAGGAAAAAATTCATGCTTTGTCCAAATCTCAGCCAGTAACTATTTCTTCTCTTAATGGTTCTTTGCTTATATATGTTGGAACTTGGTTTCTCTCGAATTCGTGGGGTAACAATGAATGATTTTCTAATAAAATCTGGAATCTGTGTCCATACCCTCTGTGTACTGCATCTGGGATTAAAACTGAAGTGCAACTTGCCTTATTTCTAATTTTGGCAAGAGCTTTAAATGGAAGCAAAATTCTAGTTGCAGATCACTTATTTATTGCATCTTAATCGTCTTACCTTTCTCCTAGGGTCTGAATGGGTTTTGTCTAGCCATACAATCAATAGACGACAATGTTGGAACAATTGGACGTAAGTATTCATTTCTTTGTTTACATATTCAGTTCTTCACCTTTTCTAGCACCTAGTAAACCTGGCTGCAAGAGTTTAATAGTAGCAGCGAACTTACTTTTCTAGCACCTTTTCCCCACTAATGTTCAGCTAGTGTGATGGAAAAACTTACTTTACTTTGATTACTGAGTTCATCCTTCAATGAACTTTTGCAGAGAACTTCATGACTGGATATCGAATGGTCTTTGATGGAGAAAACATGAAGCTGGGGTGGTCTCATTCTGATTGTGAGTGCATTATCTTTACAGCCCATGTCTTCCATTTTGTTCTATTTGGTGGTTAGTTCTTGTAGTGCATTAAATGAAATTTTGGATAGTCATCTCAAAAGTTTTAAGTTCTGTGAAAGTCGGTAGCTTAGGTATCCGGTAAAGAACTTGCTTAAAGCCAACAGCTGGCTTGGTTCTCGAGTTTCTCAATCCTTCACAAATTTCTCAATGTACTTCCTCCCATGTCATGGGCTTTTTTCTTGGAAGTCTGGCTTGTTTCCTCTCAACTCATCATCTAAGTACAACTGCCTTGATTTTCTTATCAGGTCAAGATTTGGCTGATAATAAGGCGCCACCAGTAACATCATCAAATGTTACCTCTCCTGGCAGTTTGCCTACAGAGCAGCAGAGTTCCCCTAACCACCGTACTCCTCCTGCTGAGTCTATAATGCCATCGATAGCCACATCAATATTAATGGGACAAAGACATTCATGTTTTATCGAGTTTTTATTTCCTTTTGGGTTAATAGCATGTATGTTTACGTGGATCTTCTGATCAGTAAGCAGTTGTAGATTCATGCCCTCTAGTAAAATCTTGATGTAAATCCTGTTATAGGAGATCTTGTACGGGCCAATGCTTCTACCCTATGCCCTGTTAGTGTTGAAATGGGGATTCTATGCTAGTAAAGTTATGTTCCCTTTATTCTTCTGTTTCTTAGATCAACGTCGAAACTGAAATTGGAGACGGAAAGTCTCATTATCTCCATCACCGGGGAGCTCTTGGGACGGAGTTCTCTTCGCCTTAGGGCTCCTTTGGAACATGATGATTTCTTCATGGTTAGCAATAAGTAGGCCCTAAACGTAACAAATTTTCATGGTAGAATAATATCAAAATGCATTCAATCAATCTCCTCCATCGGCATTAAGTGAAAATGTGCCTTTTGCCATGTTTTCTGCCAATAGGGAAAGCCTAAACTGAGGTAACATCCAGAAAAGTATCTAATTCTCACTTATCAATTGCCCCAGTGACCAACTATATTAATGTGCAAGAAGTTGCTAATTATAGCATATCGATACGACGCCTACCCCTCAATCATGCATCCATAATTTCCATGGAAAAAAGTACGTGCGGTACCCCTATGAATTTGTCCAAAAAATAGACTAAGAATTGAACCTTTCCAATCGAGTTTGGATTACACTTGTTGAAAGGTAATCAATCTGCATGTGCAACCCTCTATGGCCATGGCCAAATCTAGCAACTCAAAGCTACCCATTTTCAATGATCTTGTGCGATACTTTTGCAGCCTTTTTTTTTTTTTGGGGGTGGGTAGTTCATCATGGGGGTTATAGTGGAGTTTGGAGGCTTTTGGACTTTTGGGATAAAGGGTTTTTGGACTATTTTGCATGAGACAATGGGAAAGAAGGAGGAAGAATAGTTAGAAAGTGCCCAATTATTGAGTTTGGAGGGACTAATAAATTTAATGTGCAAGAGCTACCGTGATTGACATTTTTTTCCCCCATCAATGTGTTTGATTCGATTATGTCGAGTATTCATTGAGAAAGTATAATTTTATCAAGAAAAGAAAAGTAATTTTCTAGAGATATTTAGTAACCTTGGCGTTATAGATTCAAATTTTAGCAACAGTAATCATAAAAAAAAAGTGAAGTGTTAAAGAATTAAATATAGTATCTTGTTATTACCTTTTTTATACACAATTACAAGTATCTCTTGTTAAATGGAGAAATAAAAGGATGAAATATATCTCTTGTTACGACTACATTCTAAAATAATGAGGAATTAGTCCGAAAAGTATATTTTAGTGATGTATTTTAACACTTGCCGTAGTGAAATGTTGTAAAGACGGGTGAGTCATAACGAAATTGAAAGAAAGTGGAGGTCGACAATTAAATTAACTTTTAAGTTTGTCTTAGCTCGAGAAATCGATCATTATTCTCAATACTATGAATTATGTGATATTCAAAAGGTGAAAGCCCCCTTATCTTTTTTTTTTTTTTGGGTCAATTTTTTTCTTTCTTTAAAGATAGTGGATTTTGTCCTTTTAACGTCTTTCCTTTTGAATTAGTCGTTTTAACTTTTTCCGCTTGTACTTTTCCGAATTTGTAAATTACACTGAGTAACTACTATAGAAGGCTCGACCTTGTCATTTCACAAAGAAATTGAAAAGAGCAAATAAATAAGTGAAGCAATTGTCAATGGCTGGACCAAAGCACCAGTCTTTCTGTATTAGAGAGACTTTTTTTTAAGTACAATGAGGTGAGTCTAATACATTAAATTAATATATTTCAAGAATAAAAAGCATTGTTTACGCTGTATTTTAATCGCGATTTCACCTTAAGCATTGATAGTACAGTTATAAATGTCACCCTGAAGCATGAACCGTTGATTGATGCAAGAGAAGTTTGGCAATTAGCAGCACATTTCGTTTTACAAGTATTTGTCACTCCATGAATTATTTCATTGCTATAATCATCTAACAACTTGACTGGTCTCAATTGTTGATCTCTGTCAAGAATAATGTATTGAGATATGCCCAAATTTCCTTATCCCACATGGATGGATGGAGAGTCTTGTAATTAGGGCTGTCAGTAAATCGGATTAACCCGAAAAGCTACCCGACCCGAAACCGATTATGTGAAAATGGTTCGGTTAAGCGGGTGAATTCGGGTAATTGCGGGTGTAACCGATTAACTGCAGAGACTTTGCGGTTTGGTTGTGGGTTGGGAAGGAATTATTCGGGCACCACCCGAATAACCAATTTATTCTTATTATTAATTTAACTAAAAAATAACGTAAGAAGTATATAAGGCATTTTATAAGTCAAACTAGAGTTTGTCTTTTTTTCAATTTTTTTTTCAGAGCGGCGTCACCGTTCCTCTTTTTTTCCAACTCCCACCTCCGGCAGATTCCAACGAATCTATCCATCAATCTGGCGATATATTCCAAAACTAATCCGACCATTAACACTTCGACCACCCAATCCTTGGATTTTCTTCCAAAAAAGATGGCATTTTTTACTTCCATTTCCATATTTAGTTAGCTGTTTGTTAATTGGGGTATTTAGTTGATGAGTTTCCACTTTCCAGAATCTGGGTTAGGGGATTAGGACTAGGGTTACTGGGTTAGGGGCTTCGGACGGGTACTTACTGCTTAGCTCCCAGTCGTTTGACGATAAACTGTTAATCTGACTAGGATTTTTCAGATCTGAGCTCTCTGTGAATGCTAGAGTTTGTTCCTCTCTCAGCTCTCTCGTCTCTGGTGACAAACACTGAAAAATCTAGATCGATGAAACTAGAAGCGGTTTCTTCCTCACTTTTCCCAATTTCCCTGAAGCTAGAAGCTAAGGTATATAATTATGTATTCGTCTGAAATAATTATTGTATTTTTATTTTTATTTTTTTGTATTTTCTGTATTGTGCCTTCTGTGGAGTGTATTTTTCTTTGATACTTGTACTGTTGTACAGCTGACAGTTGAACTTTGTAAACTGATAGCTTGTGTAGTTGTTTTATGTGTTACTTTGTATTTTGTAAGCTTTCATTGAATCTGAATGTGAACGGGTGTGACAATTGTGATTGTTGTATGTTGAATGTTGTTCAGCTGTTGTGTGAGTTTCTGTTGAGTGTTGACTGCTGAACTGTAAACTTGTAGATGTAGTTGGACTAGTTGTAGCTGTGAACTGTAAACTTGTAAAGATTGTAATTATTTTTGAACTGTAATATGTAAACTAACATTGAACTATGAAGTATAAACTAATATTGTGTTTTTCCTTTTTTTCAGATGGCTTAGATTGATGATGTTGTTGTTGACATTGACGAGATGGACGAGTTTGAGGATTTCTCACCTCCTCCTCTTATTCTGAGTAGTATACCTGAGGAAAGAGATGGACAAATGATTGATGTTGAGATCGAAATGAAGGAGGAAGAGAAACCAGGACCAGAAGGTGAAGGTCAAGCTACTTGTACGCCTACTAAAGTACCGAAACCTCGAAGGGTAACTCGCAAAAAATCATGGATATGGCCTCACTTTTCTACTTTTAAAGATGATGAAGGTGAAATTTGGGCTGTATGTAAGTACTGTAGTGCTAAGTATAGGGCTAGAAGTAGAAAATATGGAACTAGTAATCTCCGTGGGCATTTATTAGTTTGTAAGAAGTATTTGGCTTTAAATCATGATCTTGGTCAGAGTAAGTTAATTATTGGAGGGTAAGGATGGAAAACCAGTGGGTATAGGCAGTTGGAAGCATAACGAAGAGGAAATAACCCAGGCGCTCATTTATATGATCATAGTTGATGAGCTTCCATTTTTATTTGTTCAAAAGAAAGGCTTTAGGTATTTCCTACGTAAGTTACAGCCGTTGTATGTTCTAAAGTGTAGACAAATTGTTGCTGATGATTGCTATAAGTTATACCTAGCTGAGAAGGAAAAACTTAAGTTTCAGATTAAAGGAAATTTGAGTAGGATATGCCTAACAACAGACACTTGGACTTCTTTGCAACAAATTAACTACATGTGTCTCACTGCCCATTATGTGGATAACAACTGGAACTTGAAAGAAAAATCTTAAGTTTCTACCCTATTTCAAGTCATAAGAGTTTAGATATTGGGAATACAATTGAGGACTGTTTGCATGAATGGAAAATTGAAAATGTGTTTACTATCTCTGTTGACAATGCTAGTGCTAATGATAGTGCTTTGGAGTATTTGCAAGAGCAGTTTTCGCATCGTGAAAAAACTCTTTTGGGTACAAAATTGTGCATGTCCGTTGTGTGTCTCATGTTTGTAGTTAAAGATGGTTTGAGTCATATTGGTAAAGTTGTTGAGAGGATTAGAGCTGCAGTCAAATACATTAAGCAGTCTCCTCAAAGAATCACCAAGTTTTGGAAATGTGTTGTGATTGAAAAGTGTAACAGCTCGAAGAATCTGGTTTTAGATGTTTGTACCAGGTGGAATTCCACCTATTTGATGCTAGAAACTGCTCAGGCATACGAAAGAGCATTCAAGAGGTATGAGTCCAGCGAGGCGCATTATAGAGATACTTTGACACCTGACCTTGCGGTGCCAAATTCAGGCCCTGGACTGCCTACTACAAATGATTGGATAGAAGCAAGGAGGCCGGTGGTCTGCTTCATCATTTTTACGAGAGCACATTAAAGGCATCGCGTACCAAATCTGTCTCTTCAGATTCCTTTTTGATGATATTACTGCAATTGATGTTTTGTTGAAGAAGACTATTAATGAGTCTCTTGATGTTGATCAGCAACTATGGCTTTAATGATGAAATCCAAGTTTGACAAGTACTATGGTGACATTAGAAAGATGAATGTAGTTCTTTATATGGTATGTATTTTAGATCCAAGAAATAAATTGGATTACTTAGAAGTTGTTTTGTGTGACGTGTATGGGATAGTTGATGGTAGGAGAAAAAAGACTTTTGTTGAAATTTCTTTGCAAGAATTGTACAAGGATTATATTAGAATCCATGGATCTAATTGTAGTTCTAGTTCAGCTTCTTCTCATGATCATGAATCTGGTTCTTCTGAATCTGCTCCATCGGGGAAAACAGCTTCCCGGTTGATATCAAACCTTCCAAGATGCTTAGAGATAGATTTAGGTCAGAATTGTTGAAGAAGAAAAGTTTAGAAACTGGTGGAAGAAATATTAGTGCAATCTCAGAATTGGATAAATATTTGAATGAGGCAAATGAAATAGGTGGTCTAACATTTGAAATTCTGAACAGCTGGAAGGTTAACAGC